CACGAACCACCGTCCACAATATCACCAATAGGCCGACAGCGCATCTTGTTGTTTCGTTGAAGATGAACCCTATATTTGTCAGACATCAGTGAACATAATATTGTTGGATACTGTCTATAGTTTACGCGAGTAGTACACATTTGGTATCAGTCTCCCCGTGACCACGGCTGCTGCAAAGCATCCGAAACGTCATACCGAAGTTAAAAATCATTTTCAAATAAGTTTAACTAATATATCGCGTTTTAAACCGTTAAAGTGTTTTATTTAAATAATATTATTGATTAGACAGTGCATAATCAAATGTATATCAATCTATTTACCGTTTCCGGAATTGAAATCCAGGACCAGCTAAGAAGTCGGTCAGATCGTGATATTATAATATATTATGATAATATCGTGAATGATATTTATAGCAAAAAATAGTATGGTTCAAAATTCTGATTTATTTAATAAACAACTTTTTATATATTGCATTCTATTTGACATAGAGAGCTTATTACTTATAGTCTTAGACACAGTTTAAATGTAAAACCACGGAGACTGTACTAAGAGCAAACTATATATAAAAGATAAAGAAGTGAAAGGACTTGATTTTAAAGTTAAAATAACTACGAACAATGCCTCACTTAGAAGTGTAGAAGAGAACGAAAAGCAATTGTTCAGCACATAGCTGCCAGCTACTGACACGGACTATTTTCTGTTATTATCAATTACGCCGCGGTTCCCGCGATGGGAAATGTTGCCAGCTACAAAATTGCCCACCGCAAGAATGTAATCTCTGTGTTTTGTTAAATTTTATATTATTTGTTCTCACACGACGCACGCTTAATTCAAATGTTAAGTTTTGCCCCGCGGGGTGAAAATATACCGTTGTTGTTGTCTATGGTTTTTGTAGTCTTAGATCTGGTGTGTAATTTTGGCGGAACTTGGAGGCAACTTAAATTAGTAAAATTTTAAACTTCATTTTCAAGCAAATTTCGTTGTATTGCTATCATTTATACGTGACAAGTGTTTATACCCACGCAATTTTTTTAAATTTACAATATCTTTATAATTAATTTAAAAAATATATAATAAATGCATTAATGTTTAAATGATGCCTACAGTCGTCCTTATTATTTTTCACATATTCGAATAAAAATAAAAAAAAACGATTAGATAAACAAAAATACTACCTTGAACCGTCATCCACAGCGTTTTGTGTTCTTGCTGTAACCAATTGAGTTACCGTGTCTTAACCCACGTCATCGTCGAATTTTTACAACCTTTTATATACACCTTTCGCGCTAGGGTACAGCAAGAACACGGAACGATGTAGATGCCGGTTTAATTCCGGCCCGTGTCGTATTTTTTTTTTCAATCTAAAATCGATTTATAATTTACTTAATAGTCGGATATAATAATAACACAATGTTTTCGTGGTAAAAAAATGGTTACAATTGAATTACGAAAATATGGTAAATAAATATCAATCAGCTCTTAAACTACATCTTGTGCCGTTGTTTGCCTCCAGCTAAGCATAGTAAATAGAGCCAGGTGGCGATATTGTGATAGTAATAATATGTAAGTGTATATCAACTAACCGGCACTTAGTCACAACAATGTTTAGTAATAATGTCTTTCGCTGATTATTATCATTGAAGGCATAATGACAAGCTAAGGTAATGATTTGTTATATTTCTTGGAAGTAGCAGTTAGTGCTCGACTGCGCAAGAGTGGTGAGAAAGGTTTATCATCATTAGCACTATTACTAGTTTACTAGTCTATTGTAGAAGGACGTTTGAAGACGAACAGAAAATTTTATAATTAAAATACCTTTTTTTTCATGCATTGAGTTCGTGATGGTAGGTGATAAAGCTTAGCTATATACATAATACGGCGCTAACTTTTGTTTAGATTATCTACTTCTTCATCTAATGGTTGTTCCTAATCCTGTCGAAGTCAAAGATGTTTCAGAAAAATTATAAATTGATAATGAAAAATAAATGGTATATAAATAGTAGCAATATGAGCCATATTGCTACTGTTTATATACCAACAAGTCTTATACCAATTGTTTTATATATAATTGCTTTATTTTTCTATTTTATATAAAATTATTGTTTTGTAAGTTTTTGCAACATCTCTTGCTAGTTCATCTTGTTCGTTCTACGCCCTTGATTTGAGAACTGGTAGTAAATGTAAATTTAGAGCCTTTAGTTTTTAAATGTGACGTTCATAAGTGCACCTACGCGAAATGATTTTTGACTTTGACTCTCAGAATTAGCTTGAGGCAAACTCAATACCATAATTAGACAACTTATTTGACCTCAAGAGAAACAATGTTGATATGTCAAAACAAAATCCCTGATGAAGAACACTCGAGTTGAGATGTGCCGCGTGGCATCGACATCAAAGCGTAGCCAAGTTGATGCCTGACTGTGCATAATTAGAATAACTAAGCTAATATTTATTAACTAGCTGTGCTAGCGACTTCGTCCGAATAGAATAGTTCTTTTGGGCATAAAAAATTGTTTTTGCAAACCTCCTCTTCATTAATTATAGCTGTTACGCACCACGTCGGTTGCGTCCCATCTTGAAAGTTAACCTTGAAAGAGAGATATAAACCATCGCAGACCCTTTTTTTATCGTCTAAAAAAAGAGGAATCATTCTTTAACTCTTTTGGGTGTCTTGAACCGTTTTCGCAGCACACGCAATGGAAAACCTCAAAGATCTTTCCCCGTTTTTTCCACCTTTCCCACTGTTTCTTGATCGCAGAGTAATGTTATAGCCTATATAAAGCCTTCCTCCATAATTGCTTTCACAAACACAAAATGTAATTTTGTATCTGTCAATTCGAACCAGTAGTTCTTGAGATTAGCGCGTTTAAACAAACTCTTTAGCTTTATAATATTAGTATAGATTTACCAAGCTGGTCCAGTGGTATAATGGCTAATAACCAACGCATTGCGGATTCAATTCTCAGCTGAAATAAATCCTAAATGAGCGGTAAAAGTATAGAAATACCTTTTCTACGTGGGTAACTATCAATCAACGTTTAATTTTAGTTAACGAATTATTTGATATTAAAAACAGGTTGATAGTCCAACTAATTTAGATGCTTTACTTTGCTATTTATATCGTATATAAATAGATTCTGCAATATAGAAAACTATAAGACGCGAGTAGTCATTCAATAAATCACTTTTAATGGTTTTGAACAAAAAATAATAAGTTTTAACTACTTTTAAACAAGAGACGACGTAAATATCAGTTTAGCGTATTAAACAGTAAAAATAATTAATTCTTTATTTAAATTGGTATTTCTTTATAAAGTAGATATTACTATGATATACGTGGCGTAGCATATAGCTACGATCTACGTAGCTATAACGTAGTACGACCATATTAAAAGACAATAAAGTACGCTGTTTACTGAATTATTTTTTCAAAAGAGTTTAAAAGTATTTTTTAATTTTATTGATAAATAAAGTTTACGTACAAGTATAAAGGTACTTTCCTAATATTTATTATTTAAACAAAAGATGCTTATTCATTTTATTCTTAAATTCGCTTCAGTCCATAATGATTGCTCAATATATTAATTGTTAAAACCCTTTATATTTTTCCCGTGTTATTGCAATTTATGGCATTATATGAATAAAAAATCTATTTAAATTGAAAAAATTACGACACGGTCGAAACATGAACCGGTATTCGCGGCGTTCCGCGCTGTTACTCTAACCAATTTAGCTACCGTATCCCCCATATTGTACTTTTAAAATCTAAATCCATTTTTAATATAGTTATAACCAGAGTCTGGAAATAATTGAGAAACGTAATCCATCCTCTTTTGACCATCCATGAATTGTCTCCAACATGTCATTTATGTAAATTAGATTTGTTTAGGGATGTTTATGCGCACGCGACTCGCCCCAACAAAGGGCTCAAACCCTCAACGAAGGGTTGTTATCATCAACCCTCTTATTCAACTATTACCCTTTAATTTGACATATCAATGTTTAAAAAGATGTCTCATTATTTTTATTTAGACAAATTAATTATACCTACCTACTGTCTGCGCGTAGTTACGCGATCATTACATATTTAAATGCCGAGCCGTAGTTAAAAACAAATTATAAATAGGTAAGTTTAATTATTTTTTATGTTTAAAACCGTTAAAAATATTTAACTGCAACGGGTCAAATTATTCATATTTTCTACCATTATTAAAAGCTTCGTATGTTTTAACTGATTTTACATCAATGCCTTATTATTTATAAAGATGAAAGTTCCGAGTTCTATACCTGGGATAAATCATGAGTACACATCAAAAGGTATTAAAACTTTACATATTCAAAGGCAGACAGCAGAGGCTTGTAGCTTTACAGTGAAGTTATCTTATGTGATTTTTTCGCATATAACTCCAAGAGATTTATTGTATAATTAAGTAAATAACTAATATTGTTGAACATATGTATTAACTTAAAAATGTGAATGTTATAATGTTTATCGTAATAAAGTCATAGAGGTTAATTCTAATAATCTTCAAACGGCCCGGGTACAGCTTAAAAAGCGTGGGGCGACATTTTTATAGGCAGCAATTGCCGCCAGGGCGCCACTGCGAAACGCGACGGCTCTCAGTTCACACGAGTTTCCCCCATAAAAGCGTTAGTTTAGTGCCGAAATATCGCGGAATAATTGCGTAAGGATAATCAACGAGTAGGTGGGGCTGACGTTCGTACGCCCCTCTAAACTTTTTCCCGATGTCTGGGCGGCGCGGAGAGCACGCCTCGCGTCCCACGCGCCGGCAACCCATCAAACGAAGACGCTCTATAACCGACCCGACGGCAACGCGCCGACGGCGTAACGCAAACAAAACCTCAATTGGAACTACGGCGATTTAAAAATCGAATGCGTACAATCCGCGACAGTTACCACAGATAATCGAGATCTAATTACGCAATAGTGCCAATATACAGTGAACGATGAAACAAAACAAGGATGTAGTTTTGCCAACATGACGAAAAGTGCGGGGGAATATCGCAGAATGAGCTGGACGTACACGACGATAATAATTCTCCTTTTCATCCCTCTATTAAACATGGCGAGGTAAGTGACATCGCGAATTTAAATCACAATGGCTTACGTGCGCCCGCTTAATTCGGAGCGAAGTGGGAAAATGATTCTTACATCGCCGTAATTAGGTCCGCATTAGCACTCGAATTATCGTAATGACAGGGGCGTAGGGAACGAGCACTAATCATGCAAAACGTTAACGTTTAATGAATGAAATGATAATGCATGCAAATTTAAAAGGCGACAATCGTATGCCCACCCAAATGAATTTACTTAGTATGCAAATGACAGGCGATATGCCACCGCACGCGGTCGTAACATTATTATAGTTCTGAATGCATAATCGACCACTTAGCTATGTGATTGATACGCCGACTGTACCTCAAGGCACCTGGTGCACAAATTATAGTCACAATAATATATTACAGGTAATTGAACCAGTGTTGTGTCAGATAAAATACAATCACAACAATCGTGGCGCAGCATTTCTAAGTAAAATAGGTTTTAATATAATTTTGCACTACCTTGTGGTAAAAATCCATTTTATACACCGGTACAGCGTTTCGTGCTGTTGCTCTAACCGATTGATACCGTGCCTTCTTGTGTAATACATGTAAAAAAAAAAAAACCTCCTTGTTATGTTGCTTATATACCTTATTGCTGTCTTAGTTGAATTGGACATGGTGGTGGAACTTATTCTACCTTTACAGGATAATCCAATTTTATTTATTTACTTAGGACACTAAACAGTACTGTCTCTTATGATAACTTAAAAATAATATTCTTATTGTCTAGGGAAAAAAAATTATTTTATAAAATTCCAAATGTATGCAGGCATGTATTCAGAGACAATACCTTTACAAGTTTCAATATGACAAAAACAGTATTCTTTTAGGTATAGCACATAACTCTCACTACTGTAAATTTAATCGATTGGTGAAACGGACACAAAAGTGTGTTTACCGTATGCCTTGTCTTGCTTACGTCAGATATAACTTACAGACAAAAAAAAATATATTTATTTATACATAGATTATGTCATAATCATAATTAATAGGTGCTACAAAGTAACCGAAATATCGGGCCGTAGTAAAAATAAATTATGCATTAGTTAAGTAATATATTTCACGTTTCAAACCATTAAAAGTGTTGTATTTAAATGTGCACTACTCGCGTTAAGCACTACATAATTGATGTAATATAATACTTTTATAAAAATTAAATATAAACTATAACAAATAAAATGTATTTTAAATAAAACAGTTTACATAGACAGTATAGAATTTATTTTTGATTCAATCAAATTAAATCTACAAACGATAGACAAGCTCACATATTTTCCACATTTTCCAGCTATCGGTATATTATACAGGTTTTATTCGAATAATGGCTTATAAATGTATATTTTTATGTAGTAAGAAACAATACTTTTATTCTATGAAACAATTTTACAGATGAATTAATAGGGAAAATTCTGTGTGAGAAAAATGTCTGTGTCCGTTTTACTGATTTTATTTTTCCAGACAAACAAGTAAACTTCTTTGCCCTGCATAACCGATATAATAAAATAGAAATATAAACGTTTCAATTGTTACCAAGTTGCCTGGCCGGGTCACGAACCCCTAGGCTCAGGTTAAAATCCCGAGAAGTGCCTCCGTACTTCGGTCCAATAATAAACTTCACGATTGTCCTTCTCTGTCGTGAAAGAAGGTTTTCTACAACTATTCTCTTAGTTATCCCAAAGTAAGAAACACAGTCAGCTGATAAAAATTGATTATATTTATCTCAATAAATATATCCGTTGCGTTCGATTTCAATACCCAATATAAGTCTTATCGTGGGTACTAATTGCCTATATTGGTACTTAAAGGTTATACTAACAAATCAACCGGCCTTATCCATTGTAGATTATAAACGCAACAATTTACAAATAGGTACTAACCCATCTACACATTGTTGGTACACGGAATTTCAATCAGAGCTTTGTAGTTCCACTACGAAAGGTCCAAAGAGCGTAATACTGTTAGGGAAATGTCAGTCGTATCGCATGGTGATAGAGTGTAGTTTGTTTGAATGTTCGCGTGTTTAACACCGTTTCTGTTCGGCGGGGGTTGAGAAAAGTATGTGCAGAATTGTCGGTATGCCGAGGAAAGCAACGCAAGTAGCTGTAATTTGTATTGAAATAACCTCTGAATGAGAATCTGGACGTTTCATCAGCCCGACTCCGATTTATTATTTTTTACCGTCGCACGCTTGAAGCGCAAAATTATTGTTTTTATCTCGAACCAAGCGGAATGCTCGATGCAATTATATTAAGCTGAGCGCGGATTTTTAATTGGATCACCGAGTTAAATGACGCTAAAAAGCTGTTGGTTACATCCGATAATTGGCCTAAATGGCAACACTGTCCTTTGTATTGCGAAATTTAATGTCAAGTTTGACGAGTGACAAGTCAACGGCTCGTTTGTGTAATGGTAGCAGTGCATGGCTAATAATCATAAGCAGTGTGTTCATTTTATGGTAGGTAAAACACCCCAGCCACATAACATCTTAACAAGATGCGTTGTCGGCCTATTTTGGCTTCGGATATTCAGACGGAAACGGAAACACGATTAAACCACGGCTTGTTTATCTGTGGACGATGGTCGGTGATAAGGATGGTTATTCGATATTTCTACCATCCATTAAAATCCAGACTTCTAGACGAAGTTCAGTATGTTTAAGAAAATTTATTAAAATTATGTTATCTGTTCGTTCGAACCTGCGACCCGTTATTATTAACATACAATGCTTATATTACAACAAGGACCCCGTAAAATTTTAGATACAAAACTTAATGGCATAGCCGAAAACAACATAAAACACAGATTTAAAATACTAAGTACAATTTACAGACAAGTAGACAAACAGTCGTTTAAACCTGTCCGCCAGAAAATTCCCAAGACTCGAACCAAAGACCTGCCATATCTTGTCTTGATATCAAAAAATGCGATTATGAGACGGCTAGCATTTCAGTCATACAAAACGATTAGTGAATAACGAACATTTCTCGCAACATAAGATCTGATAAACTAAACGCAAATATGAGCGACTCACTTATCATTAATAGAAAGATGCAAAAAATGATAATCATTATAATGATTGCGTTTCATTAAGTGCATTAAATATAATTCGTTTTCCGAGCATCCCTTAATGATACGGCCGCATTCCCAGCTCGTGGGAAGGCGAAGATAACAAACAGTTATGTAAAGACGGAAAACGCTGTTTAACTTTTGTTACGATTATTTTTAGTGTACCGCAATGCAAGTGTAAAAACCATTACTGTCTTTAATATACTTCAAGAATTAAAGAGAACCATATTTTTTATACTAGCTGATCCGATTTTAATACATTTTATGAGCAAGTTTATTATCAAACGTTCTGGCGACTAAATCTTAAAAATGTATGTTTACTGTAGACATTTTCATATTTTTTCCTCTGTAGCGAAATAGTAAAGCGTTAAGCGTTAAGCGCGAGAGGTTCTTGGTTCGAATCCCACGGAAACAAAAAAATGTTTCGATCACGCAGGGCACAGAAGTCTGATCAACGACTTGCCTGTTTAAAAGAACGGATGTGAAGCGAATACAGAAATGCGTTCGCCCCATGCCCCACTAGGGAAAAGGGGTTTTCCACCCCCTGAAAATTTTTTTTTAAATTTTTAGGAGAAATTTTTTTTTCCTTCAAAATTTTTGGTTCCGTGAATGGTTTATGCAGCGCACGCAATGAAAACCCTCAATATATCACCCAATATTCACTCAAACAAATCATATTTTCCACATTTTCCATTATTTTCTGCTCGTATTATTTGAATCTTGATGTTATACAGCCTATTTTGATAAACGTTCTATCCAAAATAAAAAGATTTTTCCCATTTAAACTAGCAATACCTGAGATCAGCGAGTTTAAAGAAATATTATGTCTTTTTAAGACGATTTTGAGAGAGAAGAGAAATTTAAGAGATTGCGTGACGAAGAAGTAATTATTTTGTAAGATAGCTACATTGTGCTTGTAACTTATACGATCTCTTGTAATATACGGAACCACTGTATTTTATAACGCAACGCACATGTCCCCACCACAAATAGACACAGTCTGATAAGGAATGTTCTCATTCAGAGAAGTGAAATAGAAAAGTACACAAACTACATAATATAAGTACCCATAAACAAACAATTGACACGCGAGTCAAAATTAACTTAGGCTGAACTTAGAGTTATATGGAGGCCCTTTGTAATTAAGTTAATTGTTTCTTGGGTATACACGGGCTTGTAGTGGTATAAATGTACGGTTAATAGACAACGTAGTAGTGGGTAGTGGTAAAAGTAGGTAGTGGGTCTCCAACCGTCCAAGTTTCCAATCAATTTATAAGTTTTTCGAAACATGTTGGACGGACGTCTGAAAATCTGGATAATTTTCTATGTATTGTTTACAGTACTAAGTTGTAGATTTAATTAAATAATTTTGTACTGTCTATAGTTTACGCGAGTAGTACAGAATTAAATAAAACACTTTTAACATTAAAACGTGATATATTAGTTAAACTTGTTTGATAATAAATAATTTTGGTAGCATTAGGTTTACCTAACTATTTATAGTTAGACGTTTTTCAATATGTATTTTCTTAGGCAAGCACAATATTGTCTATTTCACGGACAGTATGATAAGTATACTTTAGTTTTAGACTTTAATATTTTTCACATGATGGCATTACATGATTCAATTTCTTTTACGATTTTACTGTACTGTGTCCACACGACAGCTCAGTTGGTTAGAGCAACTGTACGGAACGCTGAGGAAGCCGCTTCAAGGCCTACTCGTGTCGATTTTTAATCTAAAATCTATCTTTAAATACTGTCTATAGTTTACGCGAGTAGTACACATTTAAATAAAACTCTTTAACAGTTTAAAACACGATATATTAGTCTCCCCGTGACCACGGCTGCTGTAAAGCATCCAAAACGTCGGGCCGAAGTTAAAAATCATTTTTGAATTAAGTTTAACTAATATATCGCGTTTTAAACCGTTAAAGAGTTTTATTTAAATCTATCTTTAATTTATTTTACTTGTTGATTTTATACGACAAGAGTTGACAGTGACAAACTTCTCTGCCCTGCCCGATCGAAATTAATCGTTATTCGGATTTGTTCAACAAGACGTCTCGTGCTTAACGCACACGTTTAACCATTTAGCTGTGGAGGTAGTTCTTAATAAGATAACCCAACGAATAACGACCAAGGTTACGGACGAAGCGTGGGTAGGAATAGTCCCAGAATCACGTAGTAGACAGCAAATGTAGACACGTTAGAGATCAGATCAACGTGGTTAAAATTCGTCTTATCTTGACCCGGAAAAGTGTTATATGTTACACGTTTAGCGCTTTACGATAGGCGCCATTTTTATTATTTATTTTAACAGTTTAAAACATATTTAAATCTCACTCTGAATAAAGAACGCCTCTGTATGTAAATGGTTAGTGTTGTATTACGTTTAACAAGACAGTTCCTGGATTCGAATCCCGGGGTAACAATAGATAATTTCGAAATTGTTCTGTGAACTCGGAGCTTGATGGCCCCGTGCTCTACAAAGGGAAACGGGAGGGTCGTATTCAAAATTAATTAACGAATATAATTCGAATTTCGAACCGATATTTTAATACGAAAATCTGTAAAAAATTCTTAACTTTGAGGACTTTATTTGTTTGCGCTGTGATAACCGTTCCAGAAATCAAAACGTGTACAGAATAAAAGAATTATTCCTGTACAATTATCTAAAAAATGAGCGACAGTATATGTATGTCTATTTTTTAAGATTAAGACGAAAGTTTTTATGGTAGTGAAATTTGGTAAAAATTAATGCATTAACAATTATTTGTTAAAGTTGTACCAACATTATCTATTAATTTTACAAATAACAAAACGGCGTTTGTCAATTCGACTAATAAGACTTCAAAATACTGTCTGAAGTTTACGCGAATAGAGTTAAATAAACGGGGAGTCTCCCCGTGACCACAGATGCTGCGCAGCATCCAAAACGTCGGGTCGTAGTTAAAATAATTTTCAAACAAGTTAATAAGTAATACGGCTTTATATAACTTAATGACAATGGCCCAATGGACGAGGACAGTCGAGGTCCTCAATGTATTACAGAAAAAGCAGATATTTCTTGCAGTCCTTGGGATGAACTCACAAATACTGTTAAGTTTAGTTTTTTAAGATCTCTGTCGCATTGGATTCCATCTGTTATGACCGTGCATAAATGTAAATATTAAATATATAAATAAATATATATCGCGTTTTAAACTGTTGAAATGTATTACATTAAAATTTGTAGATTAATTTCGAGTGTAGAAAATTATCAAAAGTTCTTCCCAAACTCGAAGCGGGTGGTCGCTCAAGCAGCAGCTTTTTAATCAGACGAAAACATTCCCCAAGCATCCATAACATGGAATTCCAACCAGAACAGATATTAATTAAAACCTTAAGCCGTCAACGCGCATACTTCACGAATTTCTCGATACCGGGAGCACAAATTATTTCTTTAATAAACTATGTTTGACGGTGCGATACCATCTGCTTAGAATAAATTAATTATAATGATGTTTATTCTCTATTAGCAATTAACGCTTTTTAATATGGAACTTGTGTTTGTATATGTTGATTTTTATGGCGCTGTAAAAACTGTTGAAGCTATAGCATTTTATTAACGACTAGCTGATCCGGAAAACGCTTGTTTTACTGTTTGCAATATTAATATTATCAAGTTGTACGGCTAACCAATAATTCGTAATAATGCATTCATTTCGACCAAATTAAATTTACAAGTTAATCTAACATATGTTGATATAAACATTTTTTAAGATCATTTAAAGAGAAATCATTGTTTCATACTGTATATTTATTGGCTTCATTATATTTTATAAAATATAAAGTTATTTTATAGCTAGTAACCCCACACCGGGTATAAAATGTTTTTAAATAATTAATTATTTATTTTTCTGACTCATATTGCAATTTGTGGTAATGAGTGACGACAATATCGAAATTATACCCCGTTCTCAAACCGCCGTCTGCGCATGATAAAGCCGTGAAGTTTCGTAGCCACAGACTAAAACTGAAATAGGTATTAATGTGTAGCTTTCTAAATATCAAAAGCCAAAATAGAGGTCAGCATTGCAAATTTTTGAAATGTAAAGCGGCTGGTAAATTGTATATTGCATCGAGGAACTCCGAGTTTATCTGTCCTCCTATAAAAAATGTTATATCCATATTTGAAGTAGAATTGATCGATTATTAATCAACTAGCTGTGCCCGCGACTTCGTCCGCATGGTATTGTGACTTGGGGTAGAATTTTTAATTATTTAGGCTGTTTATTAATTTTAGTAAGGGCGCAATTAAGGCAGCCAATCTATGTTGTAAGTGCTACTTTGCCGCAACACTCTCACCTCACATCACTCGTACTCTTACTCCCACTCCCACTCCTATCCCCAAAAAGCCAAAGAAGAAAGTTGCATTGTTCTAGCTTTCATCCCCTTTTCAACCCCTTTCAACCCATTCATCTGTGTACCGAATTTCATTTATATCAGTTCAGTAGTTTCGGAGTTAAAGCCGGACAGACAGAAAGAGTTACTTTCACATTTTTAATATTATATTAGTATAGAATATATTTTTAATAGGTTTTAAAATAAATATGATATAATACTATCATATTTTTATAATTAAATTTCCCATTTTCAGTTCCAAAGACAACAACCCACTCAAATTAAATTCAGCGCTGACGTGCCGCTTCGTTCGCGGTCTCACAAGAGAACAGAGGTCCATCTGTCACGATGCACCGGACACAGCTTCCGTGGCCTTCGAGGGCCTTCAGCTGGCTGTCAAGGAGTGCCAGCATCAGTTTAGATGGCATCGGTGGAACTGCTCAAGTTTGCTGCTGAAAGGGTCCAATCCACATGCTAGTGGGTTGATGAAAAGAGGTAAGCTTGTGTGTATTATAAGGAACTAGCTGTGCCCGTGACTTCGTTCGCGTGGAATAGTGACTTGTTTGTTTATTAATTTATGTGCGCCATTACATACACGCCCTTACATTTAAGGCAGCCAATCTATGTTGTAATTGCTATTTTGCCACAATACTCTCACCTCACGTCACTCCCACACTCATTTCTACACTCAGTCCCACTCCCACTCCTATTCCCAAAAATCCAAAGAAGAAAGTTTTATTGTTTTAGCTTCAAAAAAATTACGAATTTCCATACAACTTTTCACCCCTTACAACCCCCTTTTCGCAATAAAAAGTGACCTATGTACTTTCCCAGGGTCTAGACCATCCGTATACAAATTTCATTCACATTCAGTAGTTTTGGCGTGAAAGAGTAACGGACAGACAGAGTTACTTTCGCATTATTTATAATATTAGTAAGGAAAGGATTTAGAAAAACAAAATACTATTTAGTGCAGGCATTAAAACTGTTTAGCAACGCGTTAAGTACAAGAGGGCTTGAGTTCGAATCAAAAGAATCATGGTTTTGATCGTAGGCTTTGGAACTGTGTACTAGCACATGATTGTCTATTATAAAAGTTGATCAGTGAAACGGGACAGACATTTATTCTTAATGACTTATCAACTATTTATACAATTCAATATAATTTACCTTTATAGAATCTAGCACATAGATATATAACTACTATCTAGAGATTTATCTGCTTAAAGTCAATTCTAGACTTTGTATATCAGCACAGCACAGTTGACTGTTTTCACTTTTTTATGCGTGGTACACTTAATTATTAAAAATTTTACAGTTCGCCATGTAAATAATTGTAACATATAATAACAATTTTTATATCATCCATTTTTTTCGGTCAGAAACGAGAAATTTGTGGTCAACTGTGCCAGTGACTTTGTCCGCGTTGTAGGTTTAGGCAACAAAAATTGTTTTTTTTTCTAATCTCTTTCTCACATATCTCCTAATATTTATCAATTATAATTGTTACTCAAGACGTTGGTTACGACCCGTCGTTCTTGCAAATTAATCTTCACAGATAGACATATAGTGTCGTGGACATTTTTTAAATTATTTATAAAGGAATAATTCTTCAGCCAACGAAATCCCCTCAAGGATATATAATTTTCCGTCGTTTTTGCACATTTCCTACATTTCTTCACTTCTCATTGGTCGCATCGATAAACATCGATAGCAAGACTAAGTTTCTTGGGTACATACGTATATACGCAAACACAGTGTAGTAGCTCACTTCAAAGATAATAAATTCGTAATCCTACTACAAGCATACAATAACAATAATTCAGACAGAGGCCGAACAATACACTGGCTCCTGTAAAATATACTTCGTTTCGCAGTAGAGGCTGGTTAATTACGGAGAATAATGAAATATGCAAAGCGACAGTAAACATATGGGTTTATTCATGGGAGACAAGTCGCGAATGGTTGACGAGCTTGTGTACCTCTATTTACGAAATATATAATAGAGTTTGTATGAAGATGGAACGTATAAAGTTCCGATGTCGTGAATTATTATTTGGTGCATTTTCTTTGAATGGCAAACGAAGAAGAAATACAACAATACAAACGATATTTGATAATTGGAACACACATTAAAGTACAGAGTGACTCGGTAGCTCAGTTGGTAAGAGCAACAGCGCGGAATGCTGTGGATGCCGGTTCAAGCCCTGCCCGAGTCGCAATTTGTTTTTTTAATTTATAATCAGTTTTCAATTTATATAGTTCCATCGCAAGTGGAAATATTAAAGATTTTGATTATAACATATTTAATTACATTAAATTTATTTTCGTATATAATTGTATAATGCATATGTTGTACCTACTTCGGTGTGGATTGTTTGCCATAAAATGATGCCATAAGATGTTGTCTCTTTGACACTTATGTTTATATGTTTGATAAAATATGCAGCTTTGAATTAAAGAACAGATACAAACGACAGCTCACCAAAGTAATTGCGATTGATTCCAATCCGAATTTATTACGACGAAAAATTATCCACGCATATTAGGCGTCGGGAATGCGGTCGCATTATAGTATTTACTGATCTCTTTATGTCTGTATCTCCGGGTGTGAAGGGCATTGTGTTTTTTCTACAATCATCGCACACGTTGACGTGGAAATTTACGAGCATGGAGGATGGGAGACAACAAATAATGTTGCCAGGTGGGTCCGTCCGCTCCCGAGGCACCGATTTTACGCTACGTGGGCGTCCAGAACGCTCATGGCCTCACCGGCGCAATTAATATTTGAAAACCGCGAGCTGTGTACAGACTATACATCGCCTGAAATTGCGCGGGAAAGTCTTTTAAATAGTTCTATATTTGAAATGTACGCGTGACAATCTCTATGACATTATGGGAGTTATCGGGCAAAATATACCCATCTCTTTCTATCTTATGAACTGTCTCATTCGTTACATTGCGGAAAATATTTTCTTGACGTGGTCAAATTTATTTATTATCGAAGTAAGAACGAAATCATTAGTTTATTCCCTTCATTTACATAAAAAACACAATACATATAAAATTTTAAAAGATGGATCATAATATATTTTGCCGTCCATCTAAAGACTAATTACAATTCTAAACTCACTAACTATCTCAGCTTCTTAAAGCTTTGTGTAAATAATAGCTTTATGTATATACAATCGGCAGACAGTGGTTTTAACCCTTTTAAAAGTTGGTTAATTTTTCTTATAAGTTTTTTTTTAAATGCCATTGGACATTTAAAGATAGTGTCACTCATCCCAAATTCTGTTTTATCTTATATCTCGAATATATTCTATCGTGTTACGTTACATGTTACATTACACCGGTCTGTACCAGCTGTGCCTTACTTTCCTTCGAGTCATCTCGCATCAATTCTGTTCTCACGTTTTGTTCTGTGTTTATTACGTTTTTATGTGAGATGCAATCTATGGGATTGCTAGTGTTATTGCTTAATAAGTTGTAGCTTGAAATTGTATCTGTAACATATAACTTATTGACGTGCACTATATCGCTGCTATAACTTCATTCGTTCTTCTCGTTCGTTCTACGCCCTTAATTTAAGAACTGTTAGTGAATGTAGTATCTTTAAGTTTTAACTGGTGTGACGTTAATACGTGTACTTAGTTACCTACGTGACTGAACGATTTTTTACTATGACTTTGATGTCATTATTACATAGCAGAGTAAACAATACGTGTAAAAAAAGTAAAGTAGGAAATATTATGAACACATTTCTGAGTCCGTTTCACAGATTGGTTTCTTTACAGACAAGTAGTTTATAATCTGTATTACTTATATTTGAAAATTATATATTAACTGGTCTTAAAGTGCTTTTGCACCTTCACCGTTTGGTAAAAACCGTAGGTACATTACTGGTTTAATTTGGTTTACGTTGGTTAGACTACTTATTGAGGTAGGCTTTAGGCTTTAAATTATCAGGCTGCGACCAACAGGAGCGAAGAACAGATCATCTTTGAGGGATTTCGTTGCGTGCACTACGAAAAAAGGTGAAAAAACTAAAAGATATGTGTAAAAGAGTGATTCTTCCTTAAATAACTTATACAAATGTTCGCGACACTAAAAATATGTCTTTCCAGATTAACTCGCAAGAACGCAGATGACGTCGGAGGTAACAGTTGTAATTTATAAAGCTAGTTCTTTGCAAAAAAAATAACTATTCCACACAGACGAAGTCGCGGCCATAGGTAGATAACTGTAAAATTTAAAAAAGGAGGTACTTGTGGAGAATAGTTATTTTTGTTACGAATATATAAAAAGGAATACAATACCCATACTTGTAACTCCAACATATCAATCTCAATATTAAAGATTATCTATAAACACCCAAATCCATTGTCAGACATACAAATCTATTAGCATTACTAACGCACCGTAGCGACACCTTCCGGCCCTTCAGACACGATTCTGTTTAAATTGAAAAGTTGTGAAAAAAATAGCGTATCGAAACACTTAAACATCTTTCTTAACGCGGCTATTGTTTGGACCCCGAAACGTCGATGAAAAAAATGCTTTTAAATAAGATAATGGCGATAGATGATCGAAAGATAATTCCGGACGGTTCGAGTTTTTTTCTCGAACGAATTCTCGTATGCACAGAATACAGAATCAGAAACCGTAATGCGTTAGATGCGAGTCACGCTGCTCCAAATTGGAGTATGGTATGGTATTTGTTTATTACAAAGTACTAATTACCTAAATATTTTAAATAAAACTGTTTTAACGGTTTAAAACGAGAAATATACTAGTTAACTTGTTTTAACTACCGCCCGACGTTCTTGGTCACGGGGGACTTTTAAAGTTGTTATTTGACTATGTACGGTTGTTACTTGCATATACTATAGACGAACCTAAATCTTGTTTAATTTTAGATCAAAAGTGTAAAAAGCAAAAGGTAATGTATATTAGAGGCAGTGAGCTGTTAGCGATTGTTGTCGAACACTCCTTCTGGTTTGTTCTGTATTCTGGGCCCATATGAAAGGTCTTATTCTGGATTTGTTCCGCTTCCCTGAGATCCTCCACACGTTGTTAGCGCTCTTGTGCACGTAACGCGTATGCAAAGGTGACATTGTTGACGATTTAATGACTTTTGTGGAGCTAATTAGACGGTTTGAGGTGGGTTTTACGGTTGGTACGTGGAACGCTTTCTTTAACTACCTTTTTCTTGTTCAGGAGAGCGACTAACAAAAAAAATATCCATTTCCAAATATCCAGTTATTATATTAAGAATAAATTCACTACTATGTATAATTTGTTGTTTGTTATTAATAATTTTTCCTTTCAATGCAAACGATTTATACAGACTAAATCACAAACATGCCACAGATCATACTAACATCACAGATACTAATATAAACATAATTCTGTCATCTGTCAAAATCTGAAAATAGAATTCGTTCCGCCGCTCAAACTCGAAACCGTCGACACCATTGTGACGGTTCTAGAAT